AGGCTGCTGCAGAGCTCCCTAATGCACATCTCTTCCCTTCCCAGGGAGGCTGGAACCAGCGTTGGCAAGAAGAGTGACGGTGAATGCAAGAAGGAAATTGTTTCAGTGAGTGAATTGGGTGATGAGGGGCTGGGTTTTGGTCCTGCTGCTGCCAGGGGAAGCACTGCCAGTGTCTGCAGCAGCCCCCAGCTCAGCAACATCCTGCAGGAGTGGAACAGCTGCTGTGCTGCAGCGCAGGGGGGATTTTGCTTTCTCTACACGTAATAAACATTGTTTGTGTCAATGCCGGGGAAGGAAGCGGGTGACTGCTCAGGAAAGGATCACTAAAAGAGTGGCAGAAATAATCCATCAGGGCAGAACTGTGAATAAGAGCAGAGAATGGCTTTTGGGGCCGGGCCAAGGGGCCATCAAGCCTGTGATGACTCGGTGCAGAGCCTGTGCAGGGGCTGTGAGGATTGTGTAGGAATGAGAGTAGAGGATGTTGAGGAGGGTGATTTCTGCTCTTCAACCTCCAGCTGTTTTCAGGCGATGGACCCCAGCTAGGTGTGATTTCTGTCTAGCCAGTAAACCTTGGAAGATTTCTCCTCCATGAAATTCCTCAGCCTCCTCCTGCACCCAGACATCTTTTTTGCCATACAATGCTCCCCAGCACCCGTGGAACCAAGAAACAGAATCCCACTCTTGCAGTGTCTGGCTGTGTGCTGATCTTCCAGTTTTAAGACTCCAAGAAGGATATTGGACCCTTACAGAGGATCAGCACTGCATTTCTCCAGACACCAGTGTTTTTCCGTTTAATTTCCTGGGCAGCCTGGGAACACAGAGCACGGCACCYTCACCGAGTGAACTGCTGCTGCCTGGAAATGCTGTGACCAGGTTATGATACACATCTCTTCAAACAGGAAATTATGATCTATTTTTATATTATTAAATTCTCCTGGCATAGGAGAAGCCGACACCTCAGTTTGTTTCAGATGTGCAAGGAAGTTAATTACTTTTAGTTAGATTGGTATCATTAGCACTGCAGCTCTAGCTCAGGGTTCAAGCCCTTCTGCTACTGATTCCTTCACATCACACCCTTTTATTTTTGTTTATTTTTTGCAGGTTGACTGCAGTGAATACCCCAGACCTGTCTGCCCWCTTGACTACATGCCTCTCTGTGGCTCTGACAACACAACATACGGCAATAGGTGTAGCTTCTGCAACGCAGTCGTGTATGTACAATYAGGAACGATATTTGTATTATTAATTGCCTCCTGTGAGCACAAGTTTGCACAGTTGCTGCTTTTTTGTTTGCTGGACACTGTTGATTAGGGATTTGGGACAAGAGGGAATGCCAGCCACCGTGTCAGGCATTCATTTATTTTTCTCATTGGAGCATACAAAAGCTATGGCTGCTCTATTAGTGTGAGTGGTTTGAAGRCCGTTTAATCTTAATGGAGTTTTTCTTGCGTGTTGYGGAGGAAATTACTTTTGAAATTTCRCTATAGTYTCCCCACAGATGTTTGCAGTCYTAAGAAYGGGTTAAACTGTTTCCCTCATCTCTTAATAATCAAATAGCAAATGGGATTATGAGTCTGCAAGTTCCTTGGCTCTGGGGCAGGATCCCATCTGACACCATCTCTAGGAGCCATCAAAAAGACAGATTATAGCAGGCAGGGCTCWGTGTTTAATTCATTCTTTCCTCTCCTCGCTTTCAGGGACAGCAATGGGACTATCACTTTAAGCCATTTTGGAAAATGCTGAGTATCAGTGCTGAGAGAATTCACCACAGGATCCCCACTGGCAAATCCCAGCTAAAGATCCCACCTCAGTTCATCTCACCCTCTGGAGAACTCAACTCACTCCCGATTTTCTTTCTCAATAAACTAAATCAGCAACATTTCCCTGTCTTCTTTCATGTGTTGTCTCATGGAACATTTTCCTCTGATTTGTTGAATGATGATGCCAGGCAGAATAGGTTACGTGCTCAAAGCTCTGGGACAGAACAAGAACAACATCTTGCTCCCCTCCCTCTCGTAAAAAAGGCAGAAGATTAAAAACAGATGCACAAACCCCAGAGCTGTGTGCCTTTGCACATAAATGACAGCAGCCCTGCACCATGCTCACACCCTTGGGATGTTTGGCATTCTCAAGGGCTGCAGTGGTGAACAGGAGGGTCTCTCCTCAGGTGTTCCTGGTGCATTTTCCCTGTGCAAGCAGCGTCAGCAAAACCCGGTCACACCTTGGTGGCAGCGCCCAGAGCTGATCCCTGGCTCTGTCCTCACCTGGAGTGCAGCTCTCTGCAAAGGCAAAGCCCATATTTTTCTGTTGGCAAAAMCCATATTTTTCAGACTCCTGCACTGCCCCTGTCTATTTGTCCAAGTCCTCCAACGGACTTATTACCGAATTTTTCTCTTCCTTTCACAACCTTCAAGTGTTTTGAGATAAATGCCTTCCTAGGGGTGGTGCTTCCTCCTGCCTACTTGTCTTCTCTCARTCTTCCATTGCACAATACTCTTTGCCAGCCCAAGGAGTATTTCAGCAGTATTTCAAAATCCAAGGACAAAATATCCTTCTGTTTCTTGAGAGTGTGACCTGTCATTGGCATATGGTGCATGAAATTTATTTTGCTTTTGTCTTCTGTTTGAGTATTGAATTGGGTTTTATTTTTTTTTTTTTGGTTTTTTTTTTTGATCCACACAAGAGAAGCATAAATAAATCAGGCTTATCCCTTCTAAAATGTAATATCTCCCACATGTATTTCTTCTGGGAATCAAACAAAAAGGGGAACTTGTTCTCCTTGATGGAGGTTGTCCCAAAAAGCAATGCTTTGGTGGTAAAACAAAGGATTTGTGTTGAGATGGGCAGATGGATGAAGCAGTGATTTACAGATTGGGTTCAACTTTTCTAGGATCCACACTAGGGTCTCAAATCATTCTGTCATCATCATACTAAARGTCTATTACTGCAATGCTAATGGCWTTTAGGGGRAATAACAATTGTAAWTTTTTTTTGCATGATCCYATAAAMRTTTCTCMRTCCCTTGTCATTTCCAAGGACTCCTTTCAGTATCTGGGGCACCCTCTTGCTCACCTTCCCAGTTSATGGTTTTCCTGCTTTCACTATAACTTCGTGATGTTTTACTCGGGTGAAGCACAAAAATAAAAAAGGAGAGCCTTTCTGCTATAGAAGCGTTTCATTCAATGTTTTTCTCGCCAAAAAGCTCTGCACAAAAATAGGCACTGATAGGTGCACGCAGGGAAAATCTGACAGCAGTTTGTACAGTCGCTCTTTTGCCTGCAGGAATTTTCTGTGGTCCTTCAGAGGGAAGCTGTCACTTACTCCACTTAAAATAACGACGCAGAGGGTGTATCTAGCACATCTAAACTTCTCGTGACTCTCGCTGATGAAGAAACATCCTTCCTGGCTTACAGCACGGCTTACCTCTGTTGAGGGTGACACTGAGACAAAGGAGTGGAAATGTTGCTCCAGGATAAGGGTGGATAAGGCAAATATGAACAYGCACAAACACACACACCCCCCCAGCCGCGCAGGCGTCCATATAAGCGTGGTTGCCACCCCAGGACGGAATCCAGGCTGTGATTCCTTAGCAAAAGCCAAGCTCTGCTGCTCACAGCTGCTCCAGCCACCATGAAGACCACGGGCRTGTTGCTGCTTCTCTCTCTGGCCCTTTTCTGCATCTCAGGTGAGTGGCTGCTCTGCCCCCTGCTCTGCCTTGGAGTCAGCCCTGGCTGTCTTCAGCGCCACAAAAAAAAACATCCTCAGACTGGAAAGAGCTCCATTCTGCAAGGACTTATTTACTCCTAGAAAGATAGTGTTGAAAAGACTTGACATCAGAGACTATCACTTATGGGGTAATATTTTAGCAACAGAACTGAGTGGGTAAGAGCAACTGTGGGAGCAGCTCTGCTCTCAGCACTAGTTTATGCATAATGAAAGAAGTGACACGTACGTGGTGCAACCCGGAGACTCAGACAACCAGTGTTTAACCTCTGAAATGTTTGCAGGAACACAAATTATTTCACTGAATGAAAGCGAACGTTTCCTGTAGTCATCCTGAGCCGAGGTGCAGTTTGAGAGGCTGAATTGCTGTTAGAAGCTTTATGAATTCACCTCTCAYTAAATACTCCTCTTATTTAAGAATAATAGTGGCAAGGCACATGAGATGCTGCCTCTGTGTACTTGTCAGCTCTATACCCCTGTTTASCTCAATAATTCGCTTTGCTTTGAGCATGTGTCCCACTCCATCTTTTGAACTATGGTAAATGCCTTTCTCTTCTTTTGTTTTGCACACCTTTTTCCATTGTGATTGTAACCCTCATTAAAAAAAAGTACCACTGAATCAGCGTAGAGTATGGCAAAACATTTTGCCTGAAATCCCTTTTGTCTAAGAATAATTTGCTAACACACAGGGAGTTGGAAGTTATGTATTCAGGGCGTGCATTCACAGATTTTAACAGAATCCATGAACTGCATTTGTAATATATCTCCTTTTTTTTTTTTTTTTCAGTCCCAGTTACTGATGCGCTTCAGGTAAGGGGCATATTTTTCTATTTCCCATCCTTTCTGTCTTTAAATCAGTTTCTGTATAAATCTTTACTAATCACATTGCGATCGAGCCTTTCMAAATCCTGAGACACCCAGCCGCCTGAACAATATTTGCCACAGATATTATCGGGTGAAATTGCCATTTTCATCTGATGGCAGTTTCAACAAGTAGGGCAGTATTCAGTTCATGTCCAAGTTGCTGTCAGAGTCTCTGCAGCATCATTTGCCGTGGTCACACACGGCTGGAGGCAAAGCTGCACTGCCCCATCCCAGGGCTTTTCCTCAGCTTCTGCCTCTGGGCAGTCAAGGGGTGTGTGGAACCTCTTAATGCCACCTTTCTCACCCAGATTTGATCAAGAGCTCTTTTTCTTTTTGTGAATTCAGTCTGCATCCGTGTACTGTGGTAACCAGAGGACCTTCAGGCCTATGTGCACCATGGAGTACRTCCCACACTGCGGATCTGATGGGGTCACGTACTCCAACAAATGCATGTTCTGCAACGCATTTGTGTACGTATGAAACAAATCTCTTCATCTGCTAAGTGGTGAACTAATTTAGCTTAAACTGGCTAATCGGTCTTGGAGAAGTGAAGTTTTTTTTTATTTTGTTTATTTGTTCCTTTGTTAGTAAGGATAATTTTATTTTATGGGGAGAGTTTGCCAGGAATTCCCTTCTTTCAGATATAAAGAGAGAACACAGTGTTCTCCATTCCTCTCTTAAGTGAATTGCAGAAGAGCTTTCTCCCAGCAAACAAAGTCTGTTTCCTACAGAGTATTTGGTCTTTTAAATTAAGAATTTTTCTTGTCTTCCTATGTCAACAATGAAAGGRAATATGTGGTACAGAGTTCAGAAGTTCCTCTGTGGTGTAGAGGGACAGACCAACAGTAAAAGCCCAGATGTTTTGTCTCTAAGATTCTGATTTCTTTCTCTGCAGGAGGAGCCGTGGAAATCTTCGCTTGAGATCTCTTAATGCATGTTAAGCTCTCAACAAAATTCACCTGACAGAGGATCCCCCCTGACAATATTCCCCATGGCAGATGTCTTCCTAAACCCTCACCCTGACCCTTCAAAAAACTTCTGATCAATATTGAAACCTCTGCTTAATAAACAACAAAAAATTCCCAGCATTTCTGTCTTGCTTTAGTCTCATTCTGGTTGTACCCAACACATTGCATGATTTTATCACTGCAACGATCCTGGGGTGTGGGAATTAATGGGAAAATCGCAGGGAGAGGGAGAACAATGTTCTGATCCACAAAAATATCAACCCCAACCACAAAGGCAATGGGCAGCTTCTGTGGGCATCCACCTGCACCCGGCTTTCCAAAAGAAAACCGGGGYTGGAATTGCATCCTGGTGCTCCTGTCCCTTTCCTGCACCGAGGATGTCTCAGAAAGACACCGAGAAAGAAACTGTGCAGGGATGRGAGGAGCTGCTGCTGCTGCCAAACCTGCAGCCTCACCCAGCACTGCTCTTTGTAGCCTGGCAGCACAAAGAGGCCCTGGGCAAACCCCAGCATTAATCAGGGACAGTCCAGGATTGCTGCATTGGGGTGTTCTGGCACTGCTCTGCCACACAGAAGGGTCTTGCTGGCACCATGGGCTGTTCCAGTTCCCAGGTTTATCCCCCATTTCTTATGCCCACAAGAGAATATGTGAAGAAAGTCACATTCCAATCTGCCTCTGCCTTGCAAGCAGGACTGGAAACCACCTCTAGACGAGAGAAGGCCTTTTGCAATCTGCTTTGCTCCCCAAAGCAATGTCACAGGATGTTTTCTCTGGGCAGGCAGAGCCTCATCTGCCCACATTGTTCATCACTGAGGGGCATTGCAGGAAACCAGTGGGCAGCCAGAGCTGACAGAGCTGCTGTCCAGGGGATGATGTCCAGGGAATGATGTCCAGGGAATGCTCTCTGGGGGATGCTGTTTGTGGGATGCTGTTTGTGGGATGCTGTTTGTGGGATGCTGTCCAGGGGATTCTGTCCAGAGGATGCTGCCATGACTGGTCATCACTGGTCATCACTGGCCATCACTGGTCATCACTGGCCATCACTGCCACAGCCCTTTTGGGTGCCTCACCCATCACTTTGCTGCTGGTTGAAGGCAATTACGTCGACTGTCGCTTGCAGAGGATCCTTTGAGATTCTCCGGCCTCTGGAAATCTCGGCTGATGAAAGGAAGGGCTCACAGTCGTCGTGTTAATTTATTATTCATTAACAGCGAGGCGCTGCCAGTGCCTCGTGCTGTAGAGTCGCAGTCTCACAGTCAAATAGTTAATGATCTTAAGTGACAATGTGTCACTTCCCAGAGACTGGAGAGAGCAGCTCTCTAAAAGGAGACAATTTATTTCCAAAAGACATGACTCTCTGTGACCATTTAGTGCCAAGTCCCTTCCCTGGGCTGGAATGTCCCTCCTGCCAGAGGGAGCTCTGTGTGCAGGAAGGTGTCAGACACAATTTCTCAGGACCAGGATAAATTGAGGCTGTGGGAGGTATTGCCAGGGGTTTGGGGTTTGGGGGCTTCATCCAGGCTTATTTTTCTTTCCCTCTGCTGAATGTGGGAGAACACCAGCTCCAGC